AAAATTCACGACTGACATGCTTCTATTATTTTTTTCAAAAGGTCTCTGAGGACAACCATTTACATATATTGAAACTGTAAGAATATACACATAAAGTGAATCCGATTATAAATTAAATTTCCTACATTCCATTTGTTTGTCTGCCTGAATGAATGTTTGTGTGTGTATGTGCGTGTTATGCGCGCCAAACGACTGTATCATTTATTCAGGCATACAAATATAAATGAAATGGAATATATATATATATATATATATATATATATATATATATATATATATGTGTGTGTATATATATATATATATATATATATATATATATATATATATATATATATATATATATATATATATATATATATATATATATATATATATATATATATATATATATATTATAAGAAGACGGAGACTTTATTTATCCATTTCGATTATAATTTATTTTGTGAAAACCGAGGTATTCAACTCTTCAGATTGAAAGAGTCGAACACCTCGGTGTTACCGAAAGAAATTATAATCGAAATGGATAATTAAAGTTTACGTCTTCTTATTATCATTATAATAATCTGTAGTCTATATTGAGCTCTCCCTTGAGTTAGATCCTCCTCGGAATTATCCCTTCCATTCACAAACTGGTGATACATACATACATACATACATATTTGTATAAATGAACTAAAACTATCCACATACACTGTAGCGTTGATTCCATGAGAGCCAGAAGTTTTAAAAATAACAACCGCATTGCACAGTTCATAAATGTTTCATACCTGATGAATAGGTAAACTTGAAACTCTGGGTTGTACTGTATCAGTAACCTTGTTATATTTGTTTTATATATATATATATATATATATATATATATATATATATATATATATATATATATATATATATACGTGTTTGTGTGTATTCAAAAGAAGTTTCATTGAATAATATAGTTATATTATGTCTATCTTTATAATAATCATTTCTATTTCTCTAGTCTATTTCCTGACGTTAAGATGAAATTCATCAAGGAAGGTGCTACAGTTTTTTCTTAAACAAGTTCTTTTGCTCTCCTCCTAGATCATGCTCAAGGGTGAATTGCAAAGACAATATTATTATATTACTGTAACTGATCGTTTTGATGGCGATTATTAAAACACGCGTGAAATATATATATATATATATATATATATATATATATATATATATATATATATATATATATATACAGTAATCCGTTGGTATAATCCAGGCGAGTCCTGTTAACACAACATGGAATTTGAAATATGTTAAAACTGACACACAAAAGCCCGCTCAATGTTTATTTTTATTAAGCAGAACAAATATTCTTTACGGTAGGAATTAAGATACATTTAGCGACTGACCATTTTAATCCACCAATTTTAATTATAAAATTCGCAGGATTTTTCAAACTGTTTATGGTATCAGTTTGTAATGGGATACTGTTTAGTTGTAGAAAGAATGAGAGAGGGTGTTAAAGGGGACTTAATTGAGGTATGGAAAGAAGGAAGAAACGTTACTGGAATTATATTATGCAGTTAAGAGAGCCTGGGTAGGGGGAGGGAGGGAAAGACCGATGAGCTGACCTACATCGTAATCGTCACGCGACCAATGTTTATTCGAAATTATCGAAAACGTGAAAATGCATTCAAGAGGTAACTTTAGTAAAATGAGAGAGAGTTAATTCTGATTTACTGGTACCCATATATCAGAGACAATATTTGGGGGAGTGTTTTCAAAGATTTGGAGGGAATTTGGATATGTATTTTGCGTACCCATACGTTATTCAACATTAAGAATATCTATTCGCATAGCTGTCTACACTGACATACACTTATATATATATATATATATATATATATATATATATATATATATATATATATATATATATATATGCATGCATATATATATATATGTGTGTATATATATATATATATATATATATATATATATATATATATATATATATATATATATATATGTGTGTGTGTGTATATATATAGATATATTTTAAAATGCTCAAGATCGGAGATAGAGCGTGTATAAATATAAAAGTAAACACAGAAGTCAACACTTCGAGGCAACAGTCTGTTTCGTACTAGATGCAATCGTCTGGCCACCAATCATCATATAGCATGAAAAAGTTTTTCGCCTCTAAGTGTTGACTATGTTCTCTCTCTCTCTCTCTCTCTCTCTCTATATATATATATATATATATATATATATATATATATATATATATATATATATATGGTAGTGATGATTTGTCGCCAAGTAGCCATCAAACTTTTTTTATTAGCTGCTTTATTAATTCCTTTTGTATATAGGATTGATTCCACCAGAACAGCCGCTGAAGACGTTCTTTATAAAGAAATCGAGTCAAAACATTCTTGTCATATATTTACTCAGCATAAATATTAATGTGCATTACAGAAAACCTAGCCCAAAATATATAAATTTTAATGTATCTTACATAAAATTTATCTCTTTTTCCTAATATATAAATATCTAAATTATATATGTTCATGAGGATATTTAAAATCCATTAAAAATGCACGTACGATGTGTATATATGTACATGTTTTGGCATGTGTGTGAACGTTTCTGTTTGTATGTATATTTATTGAAGTGTTTGCACCGGCGTATGGAAATTGGTTATATTTACAGCCTTCGAGTTTCGTGTTCAGTGGATCGTAAGGCGTCAAGCCGCCTATAATTAAAAAGGTTTATCGCTTTTGCCCTTCTTCCCACAGTAAGACACGGCTGTCAAACTGTGCCTTTTAAGGTTTATATAAACCTACAGCGCTACGTTTAAAAATCCATCCACGTCTCGCATCTAAGTTCAACTGAAGCTGAATAGTTTATGCCCGACATAATATAAGTTCGCTAATAATATATTGTTAAAAGCAGCATCAAATGGTAATAGTCTTTAAAGAGTATTTGAGAACCAGTTGGGTGAAAAAAATTCTACGCACATAGGCCTGTTTGCGCTGTGTTTCAAGAATCGTAGGAACTCATAACTGCCGCTACAATCGCACATGTTGTATTCCATATAATTCTTTGTTTATCTAAGTCGTGATATCAAGAAATCTATCAAAAAAGCTGTTTTTCATATGATTACATCTATATTAACAGAGGAAATTCTCGCGATAGACTTTTTTATGTGCTGTGTCGTTTTAGAATGTGGACGATCATCGTTCTCCACGATTTCCTATAGAGTCCTTCTTCGTGATAGAGAACATAAAGAAAATCATAAAAATACTGCAGCTCCGATCGTTGAAAATACTTTGGCTCATGTATTGTCACTAATTCACAATATTTCTTCTTCTCTATGTGCCGTGATCACTCAGAACGCAGACGGTCATGGGTCTCTACAACGTCCTGTCCCTTGTAGCTCTTAATAAACTTTGTCTTTCTGTTATTTTTTATTTTATTTTTATTTTTTTGGAGACCGTTCAGTACATATTTCCTTGTTTCTAGCGATATTTTTCTATTTCTTAATACTCTGCTTAGCTTTTGGAATGCTTCTTTGACTATCCCTATACACCTTCGGATTTCAGTGTCACATTTTCGTTCCTCTCTTAAAAGAATTCCCATACATTTAAATTTCTGTTTTTTTTTTTTTTTTTGATGTTGGCATCTCCGATTTGGGCTCATCCTTTAGCTAACAACAATGCATTGTTTTCCTGCAGTTGATGTTCAATCCTTCCTTCTCGCTTTCCTTCACTAACTTTTGTAGAAGTGTCTGTAGCTTTCTTTCTCTGTCTGCTCATAACACTGGGACATATACATACCTTATGTTTTTAAGATTGTGATCGTCAGTAATGAATCCTTTGAACTGACTATTTCGGTTCAACTCTCTGTCTCGGACGAGAGGAACCCGGAAGGAGGCTACGCCGAAGGGCGGAGTCTCCTTCGGGAAAACTGGCCCAGAACCCGTTTATACGGGTTCAAATGGGCTATTTTTTGGCCGAGCCTAATGGCTCAGGAATGCCCACGTTAAAAGGCCTTGTGCCACATGACACCCTCGTGGGGGGGTGACTGAATATTGTCAGTAATGAATCCTGGTAGGACCTCTAGTTCGCTCAGAATTGCCTTGGTGTATAAGTTGAATAAGTCAAGTGAGAAGACACATCCTTTTTTTTTTACACAACTTTCTATATTTTTTGCATATGCTGAACCATACCAGCTATCCGTATGCATGCTCTTTGCTGCCAGTATAGGTTCTTGATTATTCTGATATCTTTGCCAAATATCTCTAGGTTGCTGAGCAGTTCCACGAGATCTTTGTGTCGTACTTTATCTATAAAACACAGGTACACGTTCTTCTTTATTTTTATTGCTCTTTCTGATAACATTCTAAGCATAAATATTACCTTCTTTGTTCCAGTGTCTTTAACGAACCCGCACAGTTCTTGTTCTTTTTCCTATCTGATTCTGCTGAGCGTAGTACGGAACCTAATTTTGAATCAGTCTCTGCATTAACAAGCAACATATTTATTTTATGACAAGTAAACGTTGTTACCGAATTTTTAATATTTTATATAAATGTTATTTTCTTAAGTTGTGGGCTATACTAAGGTTATTCAGCAGTTTCAGCAGATTTTTGTGGCATACATTATTTATAAAACACACGTCTGGCATTATAAATGGCAAAGTCTTAATATTACTATATTAAT